CACACACACACACACACACACACACACACACACACACACAGGTAACAGAGAGCAAATCAATTTAAATACGCACACAGATGGAATACATCTAATGCTTTTGTAAATTGTGTAAGCATTCGGATGTTACTTTATGTGAGTGAGTGGTACCTGGAGTATCCACCCAGCCAGGATGCATGACGGAGAAGTGGATGTTAGTGTGAGTTTTTGCCAGCTGCTCTGTCATCACCACCTGCTGCCTCTGGAACACACATCATCAAGCACGTCTGAGTGCATCTAACATCCGTGTACTTCAATGATCGACTGTGAACGTCCGTCTTTGTCATGCGATGAACCACACCTTTAACACTGCAGGTGATACTTTTAAGTCAAATATCGAACTGCCAATCAGGGCTGAACCCAGACGTTTGCTCACTGGGTAAGTTTTCAATTTTGAATTCTGGAATGCAAGTTAAAATTTTTAAACCACTGATATAATGTGGATCCTAAATCTATTCATAAATCATCACTTAATCATCTGTCAGCTATACCAAAGATAAATATGTTCTTTCAATATCTGATTAAAGACTGTGCTTAAAATTGTCATATTCTGATACATAGATACAATGACCAGAAGACTAATTATACTCTTCTTGTTTTCACTCATTTTCAAACTTTTCAAACTTGCTCGGTTCCTGGAGAAGTCAGACAGCTGAAGGAAGTTAAACCTGACCAGTCTTGTCAATTTTGACGAGCAGATGCTTCCAGTTCAGATCTTACTTTGTGCTGGGCGTAGACCATGGTGCCGTCGTAGCGGCCTCTCTCAGACTGCAGGTTTCCTGTCCTGAGCTTCTGCACCAGCATTCCACCTGATGACACTGTGATCTGAACACAGGGGAATGAGAATTAATCTGTAGACACCCCCCCCCACCCCAAATATTCACAAGTTTCCTAAAACCCAATGTTACAGCTCTAAATGCTTTGTTTAATGAGCAAAAAAGTACTGAAACCAGATCACAAATACAGAAACCTAAATAAACCACACTTATCTCAAATCCTCTATTATCACTACAACTGTATTTAATCCTGCATTAAGTGTTGCCGATCTAGTATTTTATTTGTCATTGTGTTACTGCAATGTTTACTTGTGCGAATCCTTGTTCACCTATTAAATAGCCCTCATGCAACAGCTCAGACTCATTACCTGATTATTACACTGTCCAGTTATGTTGGCCAGAGCCTCATATTTTACTGACTGTTTCTGAAAACAATATACAATACTGTGCAAAACTCTTGAGACACTCCTCATTTCTTTTTGTTTTGCTTACAGGGACCGAGACATTTCCTGTCATTTTGAAAAGTGGTCTTGAGCACAAGTTCTTCAGCATTCTGAACTTTTTCTTTGGACATTGGCTACTTTTCCACACATTTTCACTCTAGGCTTTGTAGATGAGCATTTTTAGAGGAGTGTTTTTGTTGTTGTTTGTTAAGCCACTAAACAGTGAAATATGAATCTTTCAAGAAAAAAAATGCAAATAACACAAGGGATGAACCAATGTTGTTGAACAGAATGATTTTAAATTGCATCTTTTGACACTTTCTTACTAGCAGCTTGTCAATTAAAAAAATAATGTTTGCATTTTTTAATCGAATCTACAAAAAAGTACAAGTGTCCAGCGTGTCCTTAAAGAACTGAGGAAGCTAGACAAGTAGAGGACAAAAGAAGTGACAGGCCTAAAAGATGTAAAGCAGTATATTAAATCATGTCTTTAGGAAACAGGAGAAAATAATCTAGCAAAGGTCTGACACAGGACCTGAGCAATGCATCTGGGGCTTCAGTTCACTGAAGCCTCATCAGAGGTGGTATCACAGACTGTCAAAAAGCCATTCTTAAAGAAGGGAAACTGAGGGAAAAGGCTGATGTTTCAGGGTGGGATCATATTGACAGACAGTAAAACAAAGAAGAGCTTTGAATGTATTTTAAGAAACCTGGAGAACTATTGCTTAAAACTACTTAAAGTAATTAAAAGAGAGCTTGCCAAAGAGCATTCAGGCTGAGTCCGAGAACAAAGGCAGTCATATCAAATACTAACTTTCCAGCTTGTTAGAATTTTGCACAACTGAGGCCTTATATACTTTATTTGGATGTATTCTGGCACAAGGTTCAATAAATCACCTACCTATGTCCCATTTTCCAAGCAAAGTATAAAGAAAGGGGTGGTGACTCAAGACTTTTGCACAGTATTGTAGGAGTGAATACTTTATGTGGACCGACAGTGAACATGGGTTGAATGATCAGACTCACCACTCTGGGGTCCACACTCTTCTCCAGCAGTGGAATGAGACTCTTGGTGAGAATGTAAACCCCTGAAGAGGACCAAACATTGAAGTACAAATTAACTATCTTCCATTTTTCCCTTTCATCAGACTGGTCTTCATACCTCTTGTCTGATCTTTGACTCACCCAGGACATTAGTAGCAAAGCTTTTCTCAAGCCCCTCTGCATTCAGATCCCTCTGGCTCATGATGGCACCCGCATTATTGATCTAAAACATATCAATATATGATCATTCAGTGGTCGCAGTTGCCAGGACCCCCCCAAAAGACTAATATGTTGCTCACCAGTACATTAAGAGACTTGTACTTCCTCTTAAAGCCCTCAGCAAACTCCCAGACCTTCTTGGTCTCAGACAGGTCGAGGATATGAACATAGACCTCCTGTAATGACGCCAGACATTTAGCAGAATGAATATCAATGTCAACTCTGGTGTAAAACTGAAGGTTGTTTGTGCAAGTCTATCTTGTTGATGAAAAGAGAGTCACACTGTACTTTATTTCCAGTCTCCTTGACAATATCAGCCCTTGCCTCCTCAGCTTTGTCCTTATTCCTGCACACCATGTGGATCGTTCCACCTGTGGCAAAGATCATAACATAAATCATGGTACTAGCAATGGAAATAAGCAGTTGAATACAATGACAAAATAAAGAAGGACCTTAAAATCAACCTTTTCCTGAAAAATTGAATGAATACTACAATCTTTAAATATAAAGTGTGAAAATGTGAGAGTGAATGAATAGTGGAATTGTAAAGCACTTTAAGTGTCCAGAAAAGCGCTATATAAATGCAATCCATTATTATTATTATTATTATAAAAGTCTTTTAAGGAGCATCAATGTGCTTTGTGGCCACTATTTTGGAACTGTTTGCTTCCTTAAAACCTGCACTTGAGAGTTTTACTCGATTGTGAATGTACTTTGTTTTATTATTACTCACATACAACCCCACTTCCAGAAATTTAAGACTTTCCTCATTTTGAATTAATGACAGCAACAGTCCCCTAAAAAAGTTAGGAGAGCGCGGCAAACGGCTGGAACAGTAAGTGGTACTAAAAACAGCTGGAGGAACAGTTTGCAACTAACTAGGTTACTTGGCAACAGGTTGTTACATGATTAGGTATAAAAAAAAAGAGCATCTTAGAGACGCAATTACTCTGAAGTAGAGTTCACCAATCTGGAAAAAACTGTCTGAAAATTGAGGAAAAATTTGAGAATTATTTTCCTCAACATAAAATTCTAAAGTTAACTATCTATTCATCTCCAGTACATGATATCATAAAAAGATTCAATGAACTGGAGAGCGAGATCTCTGTCAACAAAAGCAGTGCTGGTCAAGTTACTTGAATATAGTAATTTGCTACTAATTAAAGATTACTTAGGGTGACCAACTGTCCCCTTTTCCCCGGACATGTCCACTTTTCACGTTCTGTCCGGGGCTTCCAGGGGGATTTTTGAGATTCATAAAAATGTCCGGGTTTTCCTGTATTCAGAGGACCGATGTGTGTGACATCATCCCTGAAACTGCTGCTTTGTGAGCGCTTGTTCTGCACTCACAGACGGGACAGACAGCGCGCACCAACGCGCCTAATGATGTTTAAAAGATCCCAAAGCGCAAGTGCATCTTTTCAGACGAACTGCAAAAGAAATTTTTCTCGTACCGGCCATAGCTGGACTGGCCATCGGGCATTTGCGCAGTGGGCCGATGGTGATTTTTTGTTTTTACGGCCGATGGTTTTGTTGTTGTTGTTGTTTTGTAACGGTATAAACAATGAAAGGTGGTGGATTGGCCAGATGCTGGCCGGTGTGTAAAAATAACTCAGTTATTTGGTGGTGTCTATGGCGGAG